TTTAAATTTATTTTTTCCTGCAATAAAACAGTAATTTTTTTCAGTTTAATTCATTTTTAATGACAGAAGTACAAATTTTAATTTTGTCCCAATAGTTTTGAAACTTTTTAAAGTTGAAGATAGCAGTTAATCAAATGAGTTGAAGCACCATTTTATTCATTTATATTTTGCTGAATTATGTCTGTGTGTCTTGATATCAAGCAAATTAATAAGACATAATTTTCTCATGTGCTATACAAACTACTCTTTATTTTGGATGAAATCAAGAGCGACGAGGTATTTTAAGGTTGCACAGTGTTTTCACAAATGGATCAAAACCTAACGGTTAAAAAAAAACATCAATAGTTGCATACACAATAACTTAAACAATGCAAATAGGTAGCTGAAAGACATTCAGGTTGTCAAGGATCATTTCATGCAAACAACAAATCGCCTACAGTAAAACTATCTGTGTGCGCAAAATAGCTACAACATCGAAATTCTGACGAGACACTTTTGTCCTCTCACGAACAAGAAACACTGGATATCATAGAAAAAGCAAACATCCAGCGTTGTTTCAACAACACAAACTTTACAGCATTATGTGTAACAGCTCAGGAATATTTAGGATAGACCCCCCCACCCCCACCCCACCCATCCCCTTCCCCCACCCGGCGGCAAACCCCGGCCCACCCTGTATACAGATAAGAATGCACGTCAACCCCCACCAAGCGCTCTTATCTTAATCAGTACAAATTAATTAAGTTCCAGCGGTACACTGGACTTTAACAACAAGCGTCTCCTTCTGGGCCTGACACCCCCTTTGTTCTTCCCCACCATCTTTCCCCAAGAGTGCCTTAGGAAAGGCACAGTAAAGACAATAAGCACCAGGTGTTGCACCCTCCTAATCAATCCGGCAATCAGTGTCAAAAACCAAGTTAACTGGATCCTCTCCCGCCGCGTCCTTTGTTTTCTTTCTTCATCTTCATCCTGCGGTTCTGAAACCAGATTTTCACCTGCCTCTCGGTCAAATTCAGGAGTCTCGCTACTTCGTATCTACGATCCCGGGGGAGGTACATGTTAAACAGAAACTCCTTTTCCAGTTCGAGGATTTGGTGCTTTGTGTATGGACAACGCTTTTTTCTGGTGGGCTTCGCGTGAAGCCAGTTGGATGATGGGTTATCTGGAAACAAGGGGGGGGGGGGGTTAAAAACCATGAGAGAAGAAGAGTTAATGCTCCCACAGTACAGGATTCAAAAGCAAGAGTAGTGTGTTGACTTTAGTGTGTGTGTGTGTGTGGAGCTGTGTGTGTATTGTGTGTGTGTGTTTATGACACCACGGGCCACGCTCTCACTCACGTGTGTTTGCTCACCGAGCTTGTCGGACATACTCGGTGACGCCATCGCTGTGTGTCTAACCGTGGTGTGTGTAGTGTAAGTGCGTGCGGCGGTGTGTTCTTGCATCCGTTCAAGACGTGTCGCGGTGGTGGTTGGGGGGGGGGGGGGGGGGGTGCATGCTCCTCCTGGCAAGATCATATATTTGTAAAGGAATCGTTTTGGTTAATTTTCACTTTGCTCTGAGAAATTTGAGGACTGAAACCTGACCAGATTCCTTTGGAAATATGGTGTGACTACACAGTGGAGTGTGTCAGCCACGTTGGAGAATATGCATCTTATTATTTTGGCACTGAGCTCTGCGACTATCTCTGCGATCCTAAACCATATTGGCTATAACATTTCCATATACTAAACCAGACCTGTGACATCCGAGATAATTCCTCCAAATCTTCAGGCAAAATTTCATTCATCTAAATCAGTCCATGAGGTGAGAAGAATAAAAAGTAAAACACCGCATTGCTTACTTGCATCTGTCTCCTTCGTTTCCTCCGCTGACGGGCTGTCGACAGTGCGTTTAGACGTGGATGTGGTTTCGCAGGGAATCTCCGCAAGGGACGCTCCGTTTTCAATGTCAGACAAAAGAGGTGTGTGCGTCTCCAAAGTTGTGCATTCAGCATTCCCAATCAGAGGCTCGGGTTTTATCTCATAATGCATGGCTGTCGATGGTAATCCCGTCAAACACAGGGACGCAGAAACCGGGTCCAACGCCCAGGAGCGCGTAAACATGCCATCGCTGTCCCCGCTTGTGTAATGGTGATGTATATAGGTCGGAGTGGCTGTGTTTGGAGGGTGGGCCGACACGGGACTCCAAGATCCGCCAAAAATAGAAGATTTCGCCTGCAAAGGACAAGACTCCTGTCCGCCATATTCGGTGAGCATCGCCTGCTCCACCCCTGCAGCTGATGAGTACCTCGGTGCCATATCTTCCTGCTCGGGAAGAACACGCGAGTCAACATAATAACTCGTTCCCAACATCGACATTGCAAAAAAAAAAAATGCAGAAGGAAAATAACAATAATAATAATAATAGTAATAATAATAATAATAATAATAATAATACTAACGCGTTATAATCCTGCAATCTCTAGAAAAAAAGATTCATTGCATGGTGTAATGTGCTGCTTTCCTGCACCAGCTAGGAGCTCAATGCGTCCAGTAAGTTGAACCTTGCCCAACACTGGATAGGGTGCCCCCAAACACGTGACCGTGGGACAGAACAATAAATAATAAATCAGCCTGCTGCTCAACTAAATGGCCACCATTTTCCCCACCATATTTTAATAGCAAATCCCCGCGCCTTTATTGGGAAATATTTCGTTTTATAAGCAATAAACGTTCAGATTTTTGTCAAGAGATCTTATGTTAGTGTGATCAAACATGGGTATCATTGGAGGCCTTATACTGGCTACTTTAAAGCCTCCATTTTTGAAACAAGCTCTTCACTTTAAAAAATTGTATATTCATAGAAACCTAATGGGATTATTTATTCGCCAGAATAATATGAAAAGTTTATGATAATGTAATGACCTCCTACAATAAAAGAAAAATCTCTTAGTAGCTGGTATGTGCAACATTTTCAAGACTTTTTCAATAAGATAAAAGAAGCAAAGATGTGTTTAAAGGACCGGTGGATTTTATAATATCTAAACATATGAAGGGACAGTTTCTGAACTGCACATTGCTGTGTCTGCAGGGTTGTGGGTCCACTTTGAAGGCAATCTAAAACGGAAAGTGGGGTGAGGTTATTTGGGTGCTATATAACAGTCCTTTTTATCACGGGCAATTGGGTTGTTTTTCTTAAGGTTACAACCTGGCTGTCTAAGCTAAATATCACCAATAAAGCTCAGCCTTTGTGTCCTTTCTCTGGCTCAAGCAGACGCATCCGGCATTTCCTACGGCGAGGCAACTGGCAGACTGCAATGATCATAACCGAGGCCTTGTCTGTCCTTTCCTCTGTCTGTCCTTTTCCCCTCCTGTACAAGCCTTAATCCTTTCTTTTCCCAGCCTGCATCTTTACTTCCTGTTTGTCACATCACACACGTGCGCTGAAAAAAAAAAAAAAAAGAAAAGCCTTCACAGAGAAAGTCTCAAATTGCAGACGTGGTGAAAAATTTGTATCTGTGAAAATAAATCTGAGCATATTCAGATACACGCATAATGTTATTGTTATGGCTTCATAACGAGAAAAGACCCACAGAGAGATAAGAATCCTCTCGTGTGTTCCTTTCACTCACAACAATAAAAGATTGTTATTGCACTTTTTGGAATAATAAATTTTGTCTGCGTCAAATTATTCAACAAAAAAAAAATCAATCAGTAATTAATAGTGATTCACTTTTCATGATGCGACGAGTTTTACTGAGGTAATCAAGGCAGTTTCGTGTTGTGGGAGAAATAATAAAGCCCAACAACATGAGACTACCTAAACCACTCAACAGTCCGCTCTCCTCTTCAGGAAAATCTGCTAGAATTGCTTTCGTTTTGTTTTTATTTTTTGTTTTGTTTTGTTTTGTTTTGTTTTGGGTTTTTTTTTCTTCTTTTTTTTGTTAGTGTGTTCACGGTGTGAAAATTATATAGTTTCTCGTCATAAGATCTGCCTGTAACAATTTTAGGAACATGCAAAAGCGCTAAAGACAACAATCAGACCGGTTCTATTCAAAACAGAAGCCACACAGTCTGATATTGTTGGATATTGTTAGGACTATTCTCAAACTGTTTTGCAACACGTTGGACTGTTTTAGTCCAATATGCGTCTTCACGTAAAAACATTTTACTATTTCAAAAAAAGTTGAATTAGTGTTGGTCTTTGTTTTTACAAATAGGACCAGCTTATTTATAATTTAAGAATACATCTAAAATAATGAAGTGATTTAAATAATCACTGCTAATCGCTGCTTCACTTATTGTGTGGTTTACATTTAAATCTGACGTCAATGACACAAAGCCACGAAGTGTGCGCGGCCGCCAGATAACTATAACAGGCCTGGACTATGAAGAAAATCTCCCTCCACTACTGTGATCATATTTAGTGTGGACAAAGCGGACCCAGTCCAAAACACGAAGGCATTACCAGCACACACTGTACCTGTGCCAGCTGTGAGATTTAAACAGCGCGCGGCTCCTAGTCTGTCTCTCTGAATGAAATAAGAAGTCTACAGTTGCAGGGATGGTTTTATTAATTTGACCAGCAAAATGTGCAAATATTCGTCAAACCTCTTGGGTTCTTTAGCTGTCACATAAAGGCCTACATGTAACTGTAACACAAGTATCCCAAGGGTTAGTCCAGCATGCAAATTCCAATGGTTCACTCAGGTTGAATATACAATATGTACAAGCCTGAAGCTCTGAAACATTGTGGTCACATCCTGAACATTTTAAACACAATGGATCAACGTTACAAATGTAGCCATTTATAAATACATATCCACGACAAATTAAAACAGACGTGAAAATAACATTTTTCCGAAAGAACAACAATCAATAAGTTAGCAGTAGGGTCCTATTTTCCATGGACATTCTCACAGTTGGGTGGTTGGGTGAGGGGGTGTGGGCGTGGGTGGGGGGGGGGCTCTGCACAGGCGCCCTTGCCATGGATGGAGGAGGGCGCCAGAGACGCAGACAGTCTCATGAGAAACTGAAGTTGGTGGATAGCTCTCGGATCCTATTCTCCCGGCTCATTTTTTTCAGTTTCATCCTCCTGTTTTGGAACCAGATTTTGACTTGCCTGTCAGTGAGGTGCACACTGCGGCTGATCTCCAGACGACGCTCTCTAGTCAAGTACATGTTGAAGAGAAACTCCTTCTCCAGCTCCAGAGTCTGGTGCTTGGTGTAGGGGCAGCGCTTCTTTCGGCCACTCTTAGCTGTGAGCCAATTAGCCGTACTTTCCATTTTTCCATCTCCTACAATGAGAGCGAGACATTACACATTAGAGGTATCAGGCAACAGGTGGGACAAATCAATTACACCTGGAGGGGTCATATCTTTTTTTTTTTAAAGAAATAACAGAAAAGTAAAATTCAAAATCCAAAATAATCAAAATGTGACTTCGTGCGGTTGTTAAAAGACTGGTCTCAAACCACTGACTATGAAGCTATGGGCTATATGTTAGGTGGATAAATTGTAACACACAACCACATAGTACAAATCCATATAACGACAGATTTCTTTGTTCTGTTTGATTTCTACCACGGTTTTACGCACAACCAGAAAGCTCCCTGGATACATATGCATCGATGTAATTGAGCTTTTTACCAGACACTGCTATTTGCTACTGTTAAACAGCCTTAACCCCAGCAGCCTTTATCCAACTGCACCTTTATTAAGACATAAAACATAGCCTGCCTCTGCTGAAAATACAGCAAAGGCCTTTGATGAGAGGACAAGAAGAAACGAGAGTCTTGGACAGGACACATGGACTACGCTGGGTTGGCCTTGTTGTTGCTTTAAATGAAATGATAATGAAACCCTGATAACAGCCTATTAAAAACACAAGGATAATTTGTGTGCTTTACACTTTAAAAACGTCATACTGTTAAAATAAATCAATCAGGGCTGTATGAGTAGCGCTGCATTATAGCACAGCTATAGCAGCCACATGAAATCTAAAAAACAGAGCTACTAAAACACAATAGCTCTGATCCTCGGCTCTGATTGGTTAAGTCACGTTCAATTTCACCTCATGCCCGACAAACCTGTAAATACCCGATTAACACAGACCTGTGAGTGGCTGGCTATTGACCTAAATATGAATCCTGTGATAGAAAACCAGCTCATACTTATGCATTCCTTTGTGGTTAGAAAGCATTGGGGGTTTTTTTTGTTTTGTTTTTTTTAATTGACGCTTAAAAATGACATGTGCATGCCCTTTAAGCCGTGTCTGCTATTTGTTTTTACAATCTATGTCGACTCTTCACCTTTGACGGGCTTTTCTGGACATTCCGCTGCACTGCACGTCTCAGCGGGCTCGGGGGAGGATGAGCTTTCCGAGGAGAGGCGGCTGTCCTCCTCTCTGGCCGGGGCGCAGGGCGCAGGGAGAGGCGCCTCCTCGTGGCTCTCCCTCCGCTCGGGCTCCGCAGAGGCAGCCGGCGGCTGGGAGGACTGGCTGTCCAAGCGGGCAGGTCGCTGCAGGGTAAAGTGATTCATGTTTGGCTGGACATCATGGTAAAGCCTGGAGGTTGTGTATGTCTGAGACAGGCGGAAGTAGCCGGGGACTGGCACGGTGCTGCCGGTCACCGGGCATGATGCGGTGGAGTAGGAAATGTCATCTACTGTCGCTCCTTTAGGACATTTGTCAGACTCATAAAGGCAATATGCGCCCTCCTCCTTTATACTCGGCGAGAAGGAACACTGAGCCATGTGCTGGCCGCTGGGCTGATCCACCCGGCAGGATCTCGACGTTTCCAGCCACGTTTCCATTCCTTGAACATACGGAGCAGAAGAAGGGATCACGCTCTGGGTGCTTGGCTCGTTGCGCTTACCGATCCCCGGGAAACAAGAGCCACCGGAGAGTCCATATGAATATTCCGGCGCCGGTGGCAAATACACGCCGTTACTCTGGTAATATGAACCACTGTCGGTTCTCACGTTGATTAAGGAGTCCACGAAAAACGAATTTCCAGCTTGGTTGTTGGGGCATGTCATCGTTGTGGTATAATTTGACGGAGGATGAAGATAGCCCTTTCTGGCTGACATTTCTTGTGCAAAACATTGCTGAATAATTACTGATACTCACGCTTCTCACTGTAGCCTGCAGCCAATTAAAACACCAGGCGACTACAGACTCCTCCCAGTCCGACCAGGCAGCTCCACTGTGTCATATATTTTGTTTTAGGCTAAGTAAAGAGAAAACTGTGGGGGGAAAATGGTGCATCAGAGGGGTTTAAGTAAAATCTTTAAATCTCTGAATCTCGGATTGTGAGCCTCCATGACCACCTATGAGCCTGGAGCTGCCTATGTAAATTTAACATCAACCCCTATCTGACAACTCAGTTGTTGAAAGCTGTCCCTAACAATTATGTACAATGCATAGCTTTATGGCCACTTTTACAGCACTGTAAAAATGAAGGGATCTAGAGGTGGCTCAGAGAAGCTCGGGCTGCATCAAAGATCCAAAAGGTCGAGGGACTCTCAGCCCTTCTTGTGCTGCTCTGATGATTATTATTAGGCTTTTTTTTTTTTTTTTTCAAACTCCTCGTGGACAGTCCAGTAGCTGTGAACACACAGTCTCATCTCGCCAAATTGCTGGTCTGACCAGTGCAAAGTCACTTCCCTTCCAGCCAATATGATTGTGCTGTGAATTCTGCGGGTGCAAATGCCATGAACTGCGTCCAGTCACCTCTCACTGCAAAGGCTGTGTGTTGAGGCACAGTGAAGTAAGCGCCACAGCTGAACAGAACAATGCCCTGGAGCTACATTTCTCTTAATGATCACCAAATACTGACAGGACTGCAAAAAATGTAGTTCGCTACAGAATAGATTATATTACAACTTGTTAATCTTGCTTTTATCACTTTATAGAACCACTGGGAATTTGTAAGAGTTTCTCCACGTATTTACTCAATATGCACGCGCGCACACACACACACACATACACACACACACACACACACACACACACACACACACACACACACACACACACACACATCACACACACACACACACACACGTATTCCAAGGCCTATACACACGTAATCCTCATTGTTTAAAATTCTATTTCAAATTAAATATCAAATCAACACCTCCTACCATCCACTGTACGCACGGATAAAATGCTCCAAGTGCATGTTTAAGTTATTTTATTTTTGATTTTTTTAATATATTAAAGAGCTTCACTGTCTGTCTCTTTATAGACTTGATCCTTTGTATAACATTTTTGAGACAACAGGCCTGCACGTCTCAGCTGGAGGTAATGGCAAAAAATGATAAGAACTAGTAACCGTGATTCAGCCAGAAAACAAAACAAAAATAAATCAAATCAGTCAAACTTGCTTCAAAACTTACGAAATCTGTAACCTAAGGTCATGTGATGCCATTTAGTTTTAATTTTAAATGAACAATCCTGACAAGGATCATTTTGTGATACAAGTTCCTCGTGCAAGTTAATAAAAAAAATGATATTTGGTTTTTCATCATATCAATAAACAGCTAGTAAGCAAAACATGTTCGCCTGGACTACTGCAATATTTTAAATATTAAAAAAAAAACACCCCAACCCATGCCTCCTTAAAAGGCCGTCAGTGGGTCAGGGGGTTTATAACACAGGTCTACAGATTTAGGTCAGCCTATAATGTCTCCAAAGATAGGTTTACCCTGAAATACAACATCGGCTAACTGCATTTTCCTATGAGTCTGGAGCCAATAAGTCTAGAAATCAGAGCTACAGTTTATGTAGCCTACAGCCATTTTTATGGCGTCAAACGTCCAGCAGTCTGGCTGCAATGAATGATAATATTCATTAACCCTATTGGATTGTCTCCTGTGATGTTTCTGTGTGCGCAGTGGGTGACCTGTTCTTCTTTTATTATTCCCATAAAACTTTTCTTTTTTTTTAATTCATACAATTATTTTTTTTTTTTAGAAACGTTAGAAAAATTAATAGAAAATCCCAGACTAACTGTTCTGTGTCAAAATGTCTCGCACAATGAAACGCACACGCACATACATGAATGCAAAGAGCTGCAGCAAAAATATTCACGTGAACAGTTTAAATGAGACAATTCAAAGTTTCTACAATGTCCACATAACATGTAAAGGACATAAATCCAACTTAATGTTTCTAAAATGACGTGGAAGTTACATTTTAAACTGTATAGAGATTATAAAAGTTAGTGAGCCACAGCATGCCTGGGATATAGGCCCTTGTGATCTTATATCTTCGTGTACATTAGTCACTCCAGGCCCATAACTTTTGTAGAACTGCAACCTGAGAACCTGCATTAGATTTGATGTTCAGAGACAAACAGCTTTTCTTGCACTATTTACTTCCAGCTATTTTTTTTTTTTTTTTACAGTAATGCTTCCATTACATCATAATATCTCAAACAGCGTCTACACCTCAGTGCTTTTCAGATGGAGATGAACTGGGACAACGTAGAAAAATAGACATAAGAACCCTCCGCTTGTAGTCATAAAATGCATATGACAATATTTCCGTGCCTACCTTCACAATGAAATCCTGGGATGGTGACATATTTTAAAGCAGTTGAGACAAACTTCTTTCATATCTCAATTCACGGCAATGACATTGATCTGAGGAGCGCCACCCAGTGGGCGAAGGACAGGCAGGCCTATGCGCTGCAACGCAACACAAACGCAAGAAGATTCCTACCACGGTAAGATGCTGAAACAAATGACGCCGGAAAGGTCCGTGAACACAAGCTTTCAATGCTCCCAGCCGTTGTTTTTCAGCCCCTTAGTCACAGTTAATAACCTTGGTCTCAGACGCTTTATTGCACTACACTCCAAATGCTCCAGACGAATCCGCGTTTTATGGCCAAGTTACTGGAGCAACTGGGAGGATGTGCAGCAATCAAAGCGGAATTCCTGGGAGCCTCACAGGATGCACAGTATAAGGAAGGCATCAGGGCCCTTATTAGCTTATGGCAGGCCATTTAAGTTGTTTTCAGGGGCCTTGTGGCGGACATAAAACCACCTCAACTAAATTTCTACACATCTTCTTTGGTGCGCGTGGTTCATTTTACCTTCTTTTTCAGGTTAAGATCCACATGACCTAAATTCCAAGCCTGCGTATTTAGAATCAAAAGTCATGTAGCCTATATGCTCTTTGGATTAAACCACTCCAGATAATAAATAAATGACCATACATCTAATGATGAGCTGATGAGTGATCTTTGTCAACTCCTCATTTATCCCAGTGCCACTGTCTGGATGGTTTTAGTGGATAAAATGAATGTAATCTTTAGATCTCACACCCACCATTCTGATATAAGCGTAATAACACAAATAGATTCACAGTCTTTGAAAGGACACGGCCTGTTAGATCTAGATGCATTCAAACAAGTGTCAGGAGTGCGTCAGGAAGCCCTAAGAGGCAGGTAAGATTAATAAAAAAATAAAAAATAATAATCAACCTTTCCACGTCACCCGGAAATGAATGAACTCTTTGTAATGGATATCAAATAATAACTACAGCGGATCATATTTCCAACCATGGGGGAAATAAAAAGCATCAGAGCTACATATCATGCATCTGATACGATGCACGTGCTGGCATATAAAAGAAAATATGGGATTATGTTTCATTTGGGGGTTTTGTTCTTTCATCAGCGGTTTGCCCTTTGGATGAAGTTGGGAGATTAATCCAACTTTACGGCCAAGAGCTCAACAAAGCGCCTGTGCTGAGGGTCAAGCGCAGATGTTGAATATCAGACTTAAAATGCGTGAAATCAGTGAATTGGTATCAGATTATAACTCAACTCATTCTCTAACTATGCAACATCAACCAGCCTTTTTTTTTTTTTTTTTTTTGGAGCATTCTGATCATCATCGCCAGTAGAAAGTCAGCTGGGGTCTCTGAGTAATTCCATAACACAACAAAACAGTCTCCAGTTAACGGGGGTTGTATTGTGACAATAAAGTTAAAAGATGAAGAGAAAGAAGGAAACACGAGAAGTAGTTTAATGTCAAGATTTCTGGCCACAAGAGTTGCGTGTGCGTGCGTAAATTTGTGAAAATGATTTAAAGGAGAAAAAAAAGATTATTTTTGAAGATACAGTACATGTGCGTGTGTATATTGGCGAAAATAAAGAACCATTTTAAGGAAAAAAAAATAAGATTATTGTGTCTATAGAAATGCAGTTCGGTAACCTGCTTGTGTAGTATTAAATAATATAAAATGGAATCAGACACTGCTGGTTTTCCTCGTAAGCGCACCAAAAACGCAACCACGTAATTAAAAAAAAAAAGAATTTGGAAAATTGTTGTTTGGTCGGGCAAGGAGAATAATAGACCTGTGTAATAATAATAATAATAATAATAATAATAATAATAATAGAGTCAACGGTGTTTAATGACAAAATACTGTATAAATAGTAATTCTTTATGAAGTGTGGTACATTAAAAAAATCATCATCTTGTCCAGGTAATGATGTAGATGTGTATAGATGAGAGGGTGCATGGCTGCGTGCCACTGACAGTCTTTGTTCAGTTTTTTTTTATAGCAGGGGGTTTGTGGTGTAGTACTGTAAACGGTCTCTGTTCAGTTTCTTCTCCTTCATCCTCCTGTTCTGAAACCAGATTTTGACCTGGCGATCTGTCAGATTGAGCATCCGCGAGAGCTGCAGACGCTTCTCTTTGTTGATGTAAACGCTGAAAAAGAATTCCCTCTCCAGTTCCCTGATCTGATACTTTGAATATGGACACCTCTTCTTGCGCGTCCTCTGGCCACCTGGAACACAATAAAGGGCAAAGGTCAACCACGTGAGATATCTTACACACACATTGCAACAACGTGAAATGAGTGGATTTCTGGCTTTTGGAGCACGGAGCGGTGGTCTATACGTGAGGCTCTGGAGTTCAAGTGTTTCCTTCCTCTCAGGCCTGCAGCAGCACGGGCATTTGTAAACAAAGACTGGACTTGATAGTGGAACATGTTGGGCATGAGGAGTTGCATGTCGGAAGTTGTGAAAACGTATTTAAATATGTAAAAAAAAACAAACAAAAAAACATAC